GTTTTTTTCTTAACCTTTCTAAGTCTTATTCTCCTCTTTTAGAAAAGGAAAGAGAGGGTCTTTTGATAATTAGTTAACACATGAAACATTTTTTGGGATAAGCAACAAAACCACTTGAATCTCCAAGTCACTGATTGATGTGCATGAGTTTTTTCCTATGGAACCTCACTTTTGTTTTGATATAACACTAGAGGCCCAGTGCATGAATTCATGCATGGGTGGGATCCCTCAGGATGGTTTGTGGAGATAGGGCCCAGCTCATGTCCCCAGCCTCACAGCCCTGCAGCCCCACCTGGCACCCTGAATTGGCCTGGCGCCACCCCCTCACTCAGCCCCACCATCCCTCCTATAGGGCGATGAGTTGGGACTTGCCCCCCCCCCAGCTCCCTCAGTGCCTGGGAACTGGGCAGCAGGCCTCCCCCCAATCCCTGCCACCACCGTTAGTCACTGTCTGCAATCAAGCCCCCACTTGTACCCGCTTTGGCCTAGCGCCACCCACTCACCTGCTCCACCATCCCGCCATGGTCCCACTCTCATCAGGGCCCATTGGGACCCACAGCACTTCCACTGCTGCCCACAGTGCTAGTCACCCATGCCCACCATGTTCTGCGCCGCCCCATGGTGGTCAGCGCACATCATAGTGAGAGGTCTAATGACCCAAGGGGACAATTTTCATATTAGGTTTTTATTATATAGGATAGCAACTCCCAAAAAATTGGTTTATGGAAATAGATCTGGGGGGATGAAGTGGATTATAATAATGGTAACCCTTAACACGTTAAGCGCCAGCCTGTTTAGTCTTCTGGATGGAAATTATAGTATCAGTCACCGGTGACTGATTGGGCACTTAACGTGTTAAATTTGGAGTAGAGTGGAATTCTACCATTACATACCATACATGGGTCAAATATTGCCCCTCAACCTTTGAAGAATGATGAAAGGCTGACTGCACTCACATGGTTAACCTAAAATTTAGATGTTAGTGCTGTTATGGGAACCACAGATTTTTCTGTGTCCTAATGTTTTTATCAAAATAGTTAAAAAATAGTTCACACATGAAATGTAATCATATCATACATTTGTTTAAGGTGAAGAATATAAGTTTTTTTTTAAGGAAGAAGGGGGGAATAATAAAGAGTAAAAGTGAAAATGATAATAAAGCTATGTACCAGCAAGATGTTCTATACCCTGAGCATTATATTTATTTTTTCAAGTCTGCTAATAAAAGCCAAATTGTAATGTATTTGGTGGTCAAAATACAGATTAGGAATGAAATAAGGGAATGGTATATACAAAGAAGGAAATGTTTAGAATTTATAAAATAGTGTCATTAGAAGCCAACAATTGGGAAGTCGTACTTGGCAGCCCAGAGATGCAGTCTGGCCTGCAGATATATTGTTTGGTATACATAAGCATGTGGCTCTGTTGCTAACCTTTAAATATCAGAAGATTTTATATTTAAAAGTGTTTTGTGGAGTTTTGTTAGAAACTTGAGGGCCTGTGAGCATTGTGCCCTGTGGGGGCTTTCCTCTTCTTCCCTGCCATTCTGGGTTGCTCCTGACAGGTGTGCCGCCCTCTTCCCTTGCTTTTTCTGTTTGCTGGGCTCCTGACAGAGAATAAAGGGATGTGTGCAATAGCATAGAACAAATGAGTGAACTTTTAAATGAATTGTGTTCTAGTAATAAGATCTGGGAAATTATGGTAAACAAATGTTAACACTAAGGATTCTTTTTATGGAAGGGCCTTTACAAAAGCACTTATATTTACATACAAATACTGTTTGCTTATGCTTTTTGCTTCATTGCTAATGTCATTTTCTCATTTTCTCATTTTACAGATAGAGACTGTAAAGTACATTAATTAGGTGCCTTGCTCAGACTGTGACTAATGGAGAAAGGCTTGGAAAGCAGTGCTTAGGTCTTTGCATTTAATGCCCTTTCCCATCTCTACTGCTTCAGTGATTTCTAGTATAATTAAAACATGAACTTACATGTTAACTCTTCTTGTCTTAAAGAAGCCTTGAAATTAAGATGAAAAGAAATATGCACTTCTCTACCTGATATGACTTAAATATAAAATTGTATGCTCTATTAGCCTATTTTGGGGGGGAAATGTCTATACTATATGACATTAGCATAAAAGTTTATGCTTTATAGTATTTTTAAAGTTGAAAAAAAAACTTGTGAAGTTATACATACATCAGAAAGAATATAGCTCAGTGTATATTCCACAAACTGAACACACCCATATAGTTAACCTCCAGATCAAGGGAAAGCACAGTGTTGGCTCCCCAGAAGTTTCCCTTCAACCCCCTTCCATAATTTCCTATCCCTCCTCCCAGGGTGACTATCCCTCCTCCCAGGGTGACCACTAGGCTAACTTCTGATGGCAATCTCTAGGTTTTAAAGCATGCAATATGATCATATTCTTAAGGAAACTGAAACCTTAAGAAGAATGTTTGTTTTTTATATTTCCCATAAGAAATACAAAAAGCAATGCCCTGGGACAGACCAAAGGCTTCAGCTACCCATGCTGTCTGACAAATGAAACAAGAACCCTTTTTGTAGGAGCCAGGCCCATTCACCTCTTTACTGTGATCTCAACACATATGCATTTCCACTGACCACTCAAGATTACCTCTTTACTTCTTATGTGGTTCTGGTGATAAGAATGTATTTAGCCCAGCCCGTGTGGCTCAGCGGTTGAGTGCCAACCTATGAACCAGAGGTCACAATTTGATTCCTGAGTTACAGGCTCAATCCCCGGTGTAGGGCTTGCAGGAGGCAGCCAATCTCATCATTGATGCTTCTATCTTTCTCGCCCTCTCCCTCTCTGAAATCACTATATATATATATATATATATATATATATATATATATATATATATACATCTATATATATGAAAGAATGTATTTAAACTTTATCTTTTCTTTTATAAAATGACTGTATTCTGCCAATCTCTCCTAAATTGTTTCAGTTTGAAGGTAAGTGCTGTATGTGATTTAAAGTAGTTGTCCAGATGTGTGTTGAATAATTTAAAATGTGCTTAATGAGTGCAGTTTTACAATTGATGTTGTGACTTGTAGTACAAATGTCATTTTCTAAAAGCTTTCTCAAATTTAGAAAATGATGTAGTTCTAACAGTTCATTATTATAGATTTTCATAAAGTTAATGAGTAAAATTGTAGTTCATTATTAAAGAAATTGGTGTTTTATTTATTTATAAAATAATTTAAAGTTCTATGTTTTCTTTTATAATAGTATGATATCCTGTAGTTACATTAATGCCTTAACTAGCACAATTAGAATTGATCCAAATGCTAGATTAGCCAAACTCTGCAAGCAATGAGGACTTTGCTTGAGCGTAGCTCACTGACGCTCCCTCTGGGTATAGTAGGACTAAGTCTGAAATTCTGTCAGGAACACTGTTATTCCTGGTTGACCTTCATTTATATACACTTATGAATACATCTGTTTATGAGAAAAAGTCTTAAATCTAGTAATCTTGCTTCAAATTCCCTTCCAAAGTCAAGCTGTCTCTGATCATTTTAGCTATCCATAATGTACACTTGACTAGGCCTAATATATGTCATTCAGAGGGGAAATCATATAGGAAAAAAGAAAGCCTTAGAAGTTCTTGGTAAATAGTAGCTACTTTGTGTTAACCCTACACAACCTAAACATTTCTACCCTGGCACCCTGTTCTCTTCCTGCATGCACTGCCTCATGACTTTTGACTAACCCAAGTCAAGCCTTCCCAAAGTGACGTCTGAAACTCTTTTTTAAATATCAAGGCTTCACTTCTGGATTGCTTGTCCTTGGTGGGAATGCTTTTAGGCCACAACTTTAGTGCTACTGGCCTGCAGATCCCACTTAAATCTGTTACTAAGGAATCAAATATAAACATATCCTTTCCCTAGCCTTAACTCTCTAACATTTTTATTTTTGGTCAGAAGAAAAATGATTTGATTATTAGAAGCATTGTTTTTAAAGCATCTACTAAAGATTCTATCAGGCTTATCTTTTGTCAAACAGCCACTAGGAAATTGAACATGAGAAGGTAGTTAGTGTTAAAGGGATATAAAGGACGTATATCTTCTGAGACAAATAGGGCCAAGATGAAACTCTGTAAAAATGTTCTTTGAAGAAGTGAATGGCATTAATCACTTACTGCTTCTTGTATTTTAGAGGTAATTTTACCTTTAATGAAGTGCATAAATGAAAAGCATAGGAAAAAATCCAATAAGGAGCTTAATCTCCTAATGACAAAAAAATAAATAATATCCGACCCCAAATATGAAACTGCAAAATAAAAAATCTCAATATAGAAATAAAGATAAAACTAATATTTTCTGCCTGTCCTTAATAAACATTACATGATTTATTCTCAATCTATCAAATTCATAGGCTGTTTTATAATTTGGATTAGTTGGATAGGAATCAGAATAAGTCCTGCCTCAGTTTGGTTTTCCCTTTGCTATAATAACTAAGAGCAAATCACTTAAACTGCTCATGTCTCTTTATCTTTTTCCTAAAATGTAATTACACTTACCTCTTATGAATAAGTGAATTTTACTTCTGAAATCATTGTAAATCCCTGTTTTGGAAAATGAACATCATGGATATGATTGCTATAATGTACCAGTAGGTAACGTGCCCTCCTCCCGCAGATACAAAGCTTTTTAACTTATTTAGAAGCATTCTTTAGAGACAGCCCTGGTAGCAAATTTAGTTTCCATATTAACCATTTCATAGGTGATAATAAGATTTTTGGAATTCTAGTCATTAAAAATGAAATAGAGCAATAGGCACAAAATCCTTGCTAATATAGTAACTTGATATGCAGCATGGGTTATGGAGCATTTATTTCTTTGACTTCAATATTTGAACTCATATCCATGTGTTCTTTGAGATAATATGAGTTATGACAGCAAAATAAATCTCTGGGGTTTTTTTTAAAAGAAAATCTAACTCTTCCTTAATTATCAATTTTGCCATAGAATCGCACACTTCCAGAAGACAAGGCAGAGGATATTAATAAACATTTGGAAGACAAGAAGAAAACTGTGGGAGACAATAAAAATCTTCTTGTAGATTACCTCAGTGACACCAGCGACAATTCAAATGTTTCTGCAGATGACCTCAGTGACACCAGTGACAATTCAAATGTTCCTACAGGTTACCCGAGTGAAACCAGCGACAACTCAATTGAAAAGGTATTGACAACCAAAGAAAATGTTTAAATCCTGAGATCCTGCCTAAGAGAAAACGTATGGGTTCCTTGGTCTCTGCAGAAGACATATTCCAACTTCCTTTGGGAGCAAAACTATTTCTATGAATATCTTTTTTTCCTGCAAATTTATGAATGAGGCACACTGTTTCTAGCTCTCTTTCTATACTTCTTGCTAGCATTCTGTTCCCTGCAAGAATGGAAATCAAATGATGTGGGCCAGTATAGTACAGTATACTGTTGAGAAATAAATGATGAAGTTCACCACTGGGTCTTTGAAATGTTGAAAATACAAAGTTAGAAGCACTGAATTGGTGGCAGATATGGGACGTGTAGGTACCTGCATACATGTGTTAATTTACATGTATAGGGACAAACTAAAGTTGTTCACAAGAGTGTTTAAGGTTGTGATCAGTTCTGCAGAGATGCATTCTAGAAGGAATTATTTGTGGGAGGAGAAAGAGGAGGTGTCACTGAGGAAGAAAAAGCCATCCTAAAGATCGATCTAGAGACATCAAAAACATCTTTTCCATTTGGCAGTTTTGCCTAATAATGACACTGCTAATAGACAACTGATAGTTTTGAAATCATTAATTTGCTAACACTAACCTGGAATAATTTCATTAGATATATAATTCAGAAACCCAAATTTAATGATACTGTATTGATTCATTTTTGTTTAAATTTTTTGGGCCTCTTGTATAAAACACTGAGTTAATCATGCCTTCTCATTTATGAAACACTATTATCATTGGTCTGGGAAAGGTTCCTCTCTCTTTATTGAAATTGATCCCTTTTTAGCCCCATTTCTCTTCACCCTAACATAGACAACCATTGAATCATGCTTGTCCTTTTATTTGAATCTATACATGTAAAACATGTTTGTTGTTTTGTGTGCATGTATTTTTTATTTACAAGATGGTATTTTGTATAGAGCTATTTTTCTTTTTTTAAATATATGTTTATTGATTTCAGAGAGGAAGGGAGAGGGAGAGAGAGATAGAAACATCAGTGATGGGAGAGAATCATGGATCGGCTGCCTCCTTCACGCCCCACACTGGGGATCGAGCCCGCAACCCTGGCATGTGCCCTGACCGGGAATCAAACCATGACCTCCTGCTTCATAGGTTGACACTCAGCCACTGAGCCACGCTGGCTGGGCGTCATCATTATCTTTCTTGATTCCTTCTTTTTCTGAGACTCCTTCCTCTCATAGAGGAAAAAAAATGTTTATTAGTTGTTGCTTTTTCTTTCCCCAGAAGGAGGGAAGAATTCTGTTTATAAAGAGCATTTATGAGTTACAGTTAGGATGGTCCCTATAATTCTTTAACATAGAACACATTAAACTCCAATTTGACATTGTAAGATGCTAAGCTAAATCATATACCAATTAATATTCCTAAATATTCTTTTAGTAGAGTTCTTGAATCATACATTATTTTTTGAATCATATAATTTTAAGCTAAGAGTGACCTAGCAATCACTCAGCATTGTGGCAACAACCCAGCAAAGTGAAGTAATTGTCACATATTTGTGTTAATAGCAGGGGCCGTCTCTGGAACCCTACTTACAAAGCAAGACTAGGTTTTCTAGCACAGAACAAATATGTTTTTTATTATATTGTTTCTTTATTGTTTATAGGACAAAAAAAACAACCAAGAGGAACCGGCCATTTCTGAATACAATGAAAATCCAAAAGGTGTGAGCACATTTGACTTCAAAAGTATGCTTTTAGAAAAGCTAGATATATAACATACATATATGTGTACATATGTACCTTTGTGGAGTAATTAGTTTACACACATATACTCTGTTTTATACTTTTTACTATCACATGATATATGTGACATGAGCTTATTTGTTCTCATTGATAGCCACCACAGCTTTTTCACATAAAACTAATCATGCTACTCCTAGCTGCTCATATGTCATTTTCAAGTGATTTAGGACAGCCTTTTCACTACCTTTTTCTTTTCTTTTCAATCAGTTTTAAGTTAAGCTTTTGCCCCAAATTTCAATTTGTATCTCTGGTGAGCACTGCCAGACTCTATTGCCTATGACCAGGCTAGTCTAGAGCCACAGCAAGCCTTCTAGCTTGTCCCCAGATCTCAGACATAAGTCTTTCTTATCTTACCACAGATATTTAAGAGAAATCCTTTTCCATGTCTAACTGTTGGTGTCAGAGAACAAGTGCCACAGAAGAGAGGAGACCTACATTTTCTACACCCAAATCATCTGTGTTTTTGCTGTACAGCCCCTATGTTACATTTTCATACCATCACATCACAGTGTGCTTTTTACTATGTTCTCATTAAAAATACCTGTCATAATAGTAGATATTTGATCTGAACTTTAGCAGAGAAGAAATAGTTCCCTTGTTACTTTTTCCCTCTAAGTTCTTTGGATAGACTAGAAAAGTTTTAGAATATTTTAAGTAAAATGTTAAAATATTTATCATCTCTTGAGTATTTTTAGAATATAACCTAAAATGTTAAAAAGAAGTTAAATATAATATTTAAGTAGTTGGTAATATAAATTTAAATAATGCATTGTTTTATGAGTATACTTTAAAGATCATTATTTAACTATATAACATGTGGATTAATTTGGAACACAAAAATAATGTTCATTTGAGTAAAAGGGATTTAATTATAATTTTTTGAAAACATAATTTATATTTTAAAAAATTCACTGTTATTTTTGTAGCCTTCTAAACTTTTACAGAACTGATCAGGTCATTCTTGGCTTTTTGCCTTAACTCAACTTTTTTTTTTTTTTTTTTTTTTTAGTATATTTTTATTTATTTCAGAGAGAAAGGGAGAGGAAGATAGAAACATCAATGATGAGAGAGAATCACTGATTGGCTGCCTCTTGCATGCCCCCAACAAGGGATAGAGCCTAGAACCCAGGCATGTGCCTTTGACTGGAATCGAACCCTGGACTCTTCAGTCCCCAGGCCATTGCTCTATCCAATGAGCCAAACCTGCCAGGGCTTAACTCAACTTTTCAGGAAATGTGCAGTTTGGACCTTTTCCATTACTCCAGTGGTACGTTCTTTTATTATTAACCTATAATTCAGGGTTGATAGAGTTTCACTAAAAGCATCACTTTTTCTGATTAATTAGGAAAATTTTTTCTAAATATATTCTATTGTAGGAAACATATGTGAGCTTACAAAGAGCAGATCTGCAGAAATCCTGGAGGATAGTAAATCCACACCGGGTAAAGACAGGAAAGTATCGAAGAAGGTAAGTGAAATGAACTTTTCATTTTAATATTAAGACCAAAATATTGAATTGCTCCTTCTACTTTTTTATATGGTGATCCACATAATTTAACTTCTTTACTGTGAGTTTTTATGCCCAGAAACATGAAGAATTTCAGGTGATGTTTCACATTTTTGACGTGCAAATCTGTTTATTTATTGGGCTTTAGATTATGAGTCAGGTAGTTCTTCTAAAATTTAATAGCATATTTTTTCAATCATTCCATCCATGCTGATTCATCATACAAGAAAAGATTCATAAAGGAACTTTATTGCTTAAATTATAAGTGCATAATAATCAAGAGAGTAAGACAAAGCCATGAAATAGAAAGGATGAATGAAAAAATAAAGATAGTTGTGTTTAGGAAACATTACAGCATACTACTTCAGTCTCTCAGGAGATAACTAATACATGTTTTTGAGTTGTTGAAAGTAAGGAATATGTTTATCCTCCTTGAAAGTAAGTTTTTCTTTTCACTTTCAGAACTTTCTTAATTATAAGACCATATTTCAGGGTAGAAGAAAAAACATGGAAGACAAGAAAAATAAAAGGCCTTGTTAGTTCCCATTCAAACTTCAGGTCTCAGCTTAAATGTAATTTATATTTGCAGGCCTTTTATGACCAGCAGCACTTATGTAAATTATTATATCCCATTATTATTATTTTGTCACATAACATTTTCTTGTCCTTCTTAATATTCACCACAATTTGCAATTATGTAATCATTTGTATATCTATTAGCTTTATGTCTCTATCTCCCCACTGGTCTTCAGCTCCATAGGACAGATATAATAATCTACTTTGTTTTCCAGTGTATCCTCATCACTTATCACAGTTTCTGGTATGTGGTAAATACTCAGTAAATATTTTTGGTTGACAATGAGTTTTAAAATATAAGGAAGGAAGAAAGAGGAAAGGGTGAAGGTATAAAAACCAGGAACCATACTTAGAGTATTTAAACAGCCTACCTTTTGCCAGCTTTGGAGGTATATGCCACTCTGAAATTCCTTTTCAATCATTCCTTTCAGAGTTACTTTAGAAATTTCAAATGCTATTTGGCCATGATGCCCATATTGTTATCTTTTGATAAAAACTAATTTATGACCATTATTTTCTTTATAAAAATTATTTGATAATTTTGGATTATTATATTGTGACCTGGCTCAAAGGACACTTTAAATTAGCTTTATAATTATAACAGATGCATCATCAGAACATTTGATCAAGGTTTAAAAACTTTTTAAATTTTCTGTCTAGTAGACTAGGACATTTAACAATATACTATGCTTCATAGCATTCCTGTGAATACTTTTTCCAATTATGAGAGTTCAGGAAAAGTATCTGAAAAAGAAAATCAAATATGAGGGAGGAAGGTGAAAAGTAAAAGAGTCAGGAGACATAAAATCATGGGAGGAAAAGTGAAGTGAAGCCACACACACACACACACACACACACAAAAGATTATTGGAAAACATACCTCTGACCAAATGAAAACGCATATTCTAGAATCCATGGTCAGATTTCAGGGGCTATTCAAACTCTCCAGTCTTCAGAATTCCCTGTAGGTTGTAGGATTTAGATATACAGTACAGGAGAGAGGACCAAGCCAGGGAAGGAATGCTGTGCGGGAGGCAGAATAATACACACTTGTAGAAGCGGACCAAGCAAGGTGCTCAAGTGCCAGCACTAGTGGATGGGACAAAGGTAAGGTTAGGCCAGGACAAGTGCCAGACTGAAGAATTCAGTCTTCAACGTTGATTCTGATTAAATTCTCATCTATACCTAGTAGAAAAATGTATTTCAGTAGATACATATTTCCTTGGCTAAAAGAAATAAATAAAAGGTAATGAAAATTATATTAAAAAAATCAAGAAGTAATAAATATATTCCCTACTTAAGGAATATGCTATTATTCTAAATATTTATTAAAAGGAAATTATTTGAATGAGATTTTTTTTCAATCATTCTCACATAACATTTTTATCTACAGTGTCTCTCACCTATTTATATTATCCAAGCCAAACAAACCAAACTGTTTTTAAAACTTGGGAAAAGTAGCTCATTAACACATCCTATAATATATAATAAAAGGCTAAAATTCAGATTGTCCCCTCCACCAGAAGTTCAACCAGGAGTTCAACCAGGAATTCAACCGGGAGTTCAAACAGGAGACAGGGCCAGCTGGCCAACCACCCTCAGCCCCTCCCTCTGACTGGCCCCACCCCAAATCACCCCACACACACAACCTCATCAGGGGCAGGGCCAGCCCACCAACTGCCTGTGGCCCCTCCTCCCTCCAGGCTCGATCAGCCCCGATTGGGGCAGGCCAGTCAGACCCCACCTGTGCACAAATAAGTGCACCAGGCCTCTAGTATCAAAATTAACATATGTTTGGGATTTTGTATTCCTTCCTCTTAATTAAACAAATACTTTAAGGATAATCTAAAAAAGAAAAAGAAAGAATTGCACTCTTCTGCAAGACAGAATTCACTACTGATTTTTGTTTTCATAATTTTAAATGATTCAGATAGTCAGGTTGGGACCTATGGTTTTCATTGACAGCAGAGATCTTTTGGTAGGTGATTGTTAGATCTAGAAATTACCAAATATTGCTTTTCTAAACTATAGTCAATGCTGATTATTTGGATCCACAGTTAGCCACTCAGAAAACTGTGTCATTGGCTTGATTTCCTTCCACCCTAATAAACTAATTAAAAAAGCAATAAGTTTTCCAACTATTAAAAATTTATTTTCATTGTGGAATTAGTTCATTCTTATATTTACTTAGCATATATTAATTGGGTATCTCTTATGTCTCAGGCACAAGGCTAGAGACTGCAGATACAGAGGTTAAAGATCCAGTGCCACTTTGAAGTCAATAGATTGTTTTATTCATTGTCATTCCCATAAATAAAAGTCTGAGATGAGAATTTCTCTGTCAAAAGTATGCCTGTGTATTTTTGCCTTCCTGGCAACTACCTTTTCTCTGCCATATTCCAGCTAGTTTCTCAAGAAGGAATCATGATTGTGATTGGTAAAAGAAAAAAGGCTTATGAATGCTAATTATATATATGGTGTCCCATAAGGATATGATGAAATAATGTTGACTTGTTGAAAATTGTGCACCCCCCCCAAATACTATTAAGTGAATATTTCACTTACTGAAATGAATTTTTTGTGTTTTTTCTAGACTTACCTTTTTAAAAGACTGTCACTGATGAGTATGAAAAGTATGCCGAATAATAATGAGCCACTTCCAGAAATAAAACCACTAGGAGATCAAATAGCTTTTAAAAGCAATAAGAAGGATTTCAAACAGAACCACATTGGGCAAAATAATCAGGATACGTCACCCCCAAATACTGAGAAAACATCAAAATCCTGTGTAATACTTTAAATATATATTTGTGTGGTCTCCATGCACATTGTAATTTATACTTGAAAAACATGACTTCTTAAGGAATGTTTCTGATAACAAACTTGAAGATATAATTTAATATGTTTTATTTGGTTTGAATAGTATGACCAGTTTTGATATTTATTTATGATAATATTTTTGACAAGCAATTTCACAGTATGTATATCTCAAACTCACTAAGTGTTGTAGCCTTAACTGTTCAGTGTTCCATAAAAATATATTTTTATATGTGAAGGTTGAATTAAGAAATTTCACAGTTTAACTAAACAGTTTTACATCTTATAATTTCAAAAGGCAATATTTACAAACTCAAAACACTATAACAGTTTTTAATGTATTTGCAATTTTTAAAAACTCAAAATTGTTTTTAATGAGAATATTTTAATAAACAATATCTGGTTGGTTGCACTGTTTAAATAGGTGACTATGAATAAAATTTGGGGGTACTTGGACTTTTCAATTGACAAAATGGATACAAAAAAACTAAATTTAAAATATTCAAAGCTATAAGATGCTTTTACTTCTAAGTAAAGGAAATTTCTGTATAAATGTAAACAGTACACCTTAATATAGAAACTGTGTTGAAATTTCTTTGCCTCCCACTCCTTTCTTCAGGGAAGTGATTTGGCATGAAGACATTGCAGATTATATGGATCTGGAGTCTTTGACCACAGATCCCTACCACAGGAGAACCAAACATACCCAGTCTTGCTATTTCAGCTGTTTCTAGCATTGACAGTTGGTTCTAACACACAGTGCTCTGCCACAAGTATAGAAAGGGTAAAACTATTTAGTCTACACCAATAGAGACATTGCTTTCCTATGTTCACAAATGATGCTTATTTAATGGAGAAAACTACATTCATTGTCCCCATTCTAGCTTCTGAACATTTTCTTCTTCAATCACAGTAGTCACTGTGATTGAAGAAGAAAACAAATAAAAAGCAATATCAGTTAAATAAAAAGAAACATCATCTTTGTGCCTTATGCACAAGGTTAAAGATAAACTTAATAAAATGTTTTGCTATTTCCACTTATAGTAATAGTACAGTATTGAAAAACTACTTTGCCAAAATCTAAACTATATGAGTCAAGTGGAAATAAAGCTCACAAATAGGAATTAGACAGGCCAGTAGTAGTAGGCAGAATTCTAAGATAGCCCCCAGGTTCCTGCCTGCTGGCATACTTGCCCTGAATAATCCCTTCCCCTTGAGTGTGGGTGAGGGATTATGGAGAGATATCACTTAGGTTACATTATATGAAAGGTTTTACAGATGTAATTAAATTTCCTAATGTTAACTTTAAGCAAAAGGGAAATAACCCTAGGTAGGCCTAACCTAATCAGGTGAGCCCTTTCAAAGAGACTCTAGAACTCAGAGATGGAAGAAGTCAGAGAAGTAGAGATGCTTTTCTGTTGGCCTTGAAGAAACAAACTGCCACAATATGGAGAGGGACATGTGCCAGGGGAAAGTGAGAAGCCTCTAATATCTGAGGGCCTCCATCCTACAACTGGAAGGCACTGAATTCTGCCAACAACCAATGAGCCTGGAAGAGGAACCCAATCCTTAGATGAGGCCACAGCCTTATGAGGCCTTGAGCAGAGGACCCAGTTAATCAGTTCCCAGGCTCCTGGCCCATGAATACGGTAGTTTTAATCCACCAAGTTTATGGTAATTGTCATGTAGCAATATAAATTAATACCAGTCTTATTCTGTGGAAGGGATTCTCCATATGGCAGCTTCCTTTATTAAAAAGAGTCAATAGGCTGGGACTGGTTTGGCTCTGGATAAAGCGTCGGCCTGTGAACTGAAAGGTCCCGGGTTCGATTCCGGTCAAGGGCATGTACCTTGGTTGCGGGCACATACCCAGTGGGGGGTGTGCAGGAGGCAGCTGATCGATGATTCTCTCTCATCGATGTTTCTAACTCTCAATCCCTCTCTTTTCCTCTCTGTGAAAAATCAAAAAAATATATTTTTTTTTAAAAGAGTCAATAGAATCTAATAGCAAGACAAGTATCAGAAAATTAGGGAAGTGATATCCCATCACTTTTGACATACTGTTTTAGAAGCAAGTCACAGGCCCCTCTCACACTCAAGATGAGGGCATGACACAAGGATATAAAGACTGGGAGGCAAGGATCATAGGGGCCATTTTAGAGCCTACTTGCCATACTACTCGTTTGGCTGTTCATTATAAAGGAGAAAAGGAAGGATTAAGTCAAAGCACTTGGAAGAGATGAACATAAGACAAACATAAACAAACTGACAACGTATCCCTATTTTGTCAGAGGTGTCAGAACAATTCAGATTTTTAATAAGGTGGTTCATTGACGATCAACACTGAGTCATTTTTCATGGTACTTTTATAAATACTTTTATAAAAACCATTATAAAAAAACATTATACCAGCCATCTTCCCTTGGAGTAATGATTATATATTTATTTTCCAATTTTAGTTTCATATTTGCTTTTACATTGAAATACTGAACACTTCCTACATGCCAGATATTATACCAGAAACTAAGAAAATAGAAGTCACAGTATAGTGAAGTAAAATAAAAAAAAAACACATCATCATTTAGAGATATTAGGGTAATTTAAAAACCTAAGTTTCCTAATAGGATGAAAAGGAGATCAGTGAACACTAAACACACAAACAAAAAATAACTAACATTTAAGAACTCAAAAAGAAAAGATTGTTGATAGAATTAAATTATCAATTTAAACTAGTTTCAAAAATAAAAGCTACATTAATAACCTTATAGTTTTAATAAAAAGTGAAATGGTTACTTTAATCCCTAAACTATTCCCCTTCTATTCTTTGTCATTAATTTCTCTTCCTATAGTACTATTTCTTTGGATATTTTTTTACTGATCTTTTGGGAGCTGAAAACAGAATCTCTTGAACATTAGAGGGTCATTGATATTGTTCAGATTATGATGGATCAAATGTTATAGATATTAATTTACAGAATGCCAGTAGTGATAGGATTTTAGTCTTATGAAAGAGCATTCAATCCCATTTTGAAATATTAAAAATAAAGGAAATATTGGTACTCATTAAGACCTTCCTTTGTATGAAGAAGAAACTGTACAATTCTGAAAAGGTTCTTACATTTCCTAGGGCTTCTGTAACAGAGGACCACACACTGGGATACTTAAAAACAATAAAAATGTATTGTCTCACAGTTCTGGAGGCCAGCACTCCAAAGTAAATGTATTGGCAGGGCCTTACTCCCTCTGAAGGCACTGGGATGTGCCATGCCTCTCTACTGCTTCTGGTAGCCTCAGGCATTCTTTGGCTTATTGATACAGGATATCACTCCAACCTGTGTCCTCATATGGCATTCTTATGTTTCTTCACATTTGTCTTCCTTCTGTGCATGTCTGTCGCCATTTCTAATTTTTTTTTTTAAATAAGGATACAAATCATATTGGATTAGAACCCACCTTGATGATCTCATTTTAATTTACATCCTTAATGGCCCTATTTGCAAACAATATGGCATTCTGAAGTACTGAGGGAGATTAAAAATGGTGGCAGAGTAAGTGGATGCTACATGGACATGCTCCCAGGAACAAACTGGAATTACAACTAAAAGACAGAAAAACTTCCTGAATAATCAATGGAAAACTCACAGGAGAGAGCCCTGATCACCAAGGACTAAAAGAGGAGATCACATAGAGACTGGTAGGAGGGGTGGAAGCATGAAAGGGCTGGCTGGGTACTCACAGTCAGCAACCGAAGTCCCAGAGAGATATCTCAGCTGTGGAGCATTGCCACAGAGAACTCTGAGGTCTAATCCCCAAGCTGGGCCCCCAGCAGAGAGCACCAAAACTGAGAAGGGTATCCAATAACATCTGGCTGTGAAAAGCAGCAGGGGTGCTGTCTGCTAGGGAGAGACAGCTGGAAATTAAGGGACCTTCTTTACGGGCCAATGCACAAAATTCCCTGTGCAGCCACCCACCTTGTGCTCTGGCAGAGGAAGGGCAGAGTGGACTGGAGCTGTGTGAGCATAAGCCAGGACTGAGGACTTGGAGGTTAGAGCTCAGAAGGCAGACACCCCAAATTTCCTGGGCTGAGTCATTCCTTCATGCAGCAGAGGACATCTTTCCGACACAGATATTTGCCAAAGAGGTGACCTTGCCTGGAGGGAAGACAGTTGACACACCCTATTGGAAAACATCTTGCCCTAAGGCCACTTCAGAGACTAAAAATAGCCTCCAGGCAGAAGCAACAGCCACATCCTATTGAAAACAACTTTCACTATATGTGTGGATGATTGCCAGGGGGCAATTCAAGCTGAAATCCTATCAGTCCTTAGGCAGAGGCGGTCTCTGGAGGCTTTAAGTCTTTGCCTGATCTAATTAGTCAGAAAGAGCATTTTACACTGTCCTGCACTAGAGATTGAGAGGCATAGAGGATCTGCCTAATACATAGTCACAAACCCAAACAGACAGCCAAAATGAGGAGACAAAGAAACAACTCCCAAATGGAAGAACTAGAGAATTATTCAGAAGAAGAGATAAATGAAGCAGAAATAAGCAATTTATCTGAAACAGAGTTCAGAGTAATGATGGTAAAGATGCTCAACAGCTTAAAGTACTGGGGATTAGGACTTTTAACATATTTTAGAGAAAGCACAACCCTAAAATAGTATTTTAGTAAGAATGTAAGAGACTAGACTCTAAAAGTTGAGATTATTTTGTGTGATCTGTAGCTCTCAAACTGAAGCACTGTAATGGTGAGAATCATTTTCTAGCAGTTAAGAGTGAAAAATGGGATAAGTGATATTCAATGTGTGTGTTTTCTGAGTACCTTGCAATGCCCATTCTATTGACCACATCCAATTTATCATATGTGCTAATACATATGGTACACATGTTATTGCTATGGGTAATATTTTTACATACTGTAAAATATATTTTATAGGATGCAACTCCTAGGTTACAAAAGGAGATGGTTCTATTACAAATTTC